CTCCCGTAAAGATTTGCAGCCTCGGAAACCCTGCACAGGGTCGCTATGAGTTGGAACCGACTCCGTGGCACACAACAACAACAACAACATTGCTTCCTAATGTTAAACTCCACTGCCATTCTCCAACCATATAAAAGGAGGGAGAGAGAAAGCTCTTCTAACCCAGGATGCTTGCCCCTGATTTCCCTCTCCTGACCAGACTGGAGACCTGGTGAGAATTGCTGGAGACACGCTTGCCTGACTCGGCCAGGGCCCTAGGCCAGTCCCAGAATCCTGCTGGACAACAATAAGACTGCATCTTTCCTCTCTGCTGCATCCCCATGGCCTTGCCCCCAGCACATGGTCACAGAAGTCTCAGTCTGAGTAGGGCTCTCCTCCGCCTACTCCATGCTCACATGGGAGCGAGATTTGGGTTAGCAGTGCCCCTCAACCAGGGGAACAAAAAAGGGCTGGGATTTGGTGAGGTGAACCTCACATTGAGGTTTTGGCCTCCCCTGCAATTGCTTTACCCCAGATGTGAATCAAAGCAACATCCACAAAGCACCAACAGAGGTTAAGAGGACTTACATACACACAGACAAGAGCTGCAAATCCTAGGAGACATGGCTCAGCACAGGTTGTGTACAAGGCCCCAGGGCCCATTCCTGGAGCATGGTCACATCTGATCTGCCACTGAACTATAGAATCCTAGAACTATGAATTTTACAGTAGCAACCATGTCTTGCTACTCAGCATTCTCTCAGGAAATGCCTATGGACTCCAGGCACCCCAATAGCCTCCCTCTAAGAGGGTCAATTCACTTCTATGAGGGCAAGCCAAGGTCACAGTTAGCTGTGATTCTAGGACCACAGAGACATCTAGCCCCCTTGGAGCAATCAACTTACTTCTCACCCACGCACACTCCCCACAGATTTTCTAATTTATGGGTTCCCTTCCCAATCCACATTTTCTGGAGAAAATGCTGCCTTCGGTCCCTGAGTTGAGCCCCACTCACTGAGACACTGTGATATTCAAGAGCAGCAGTCCTTAGCCTGCCTGTAGTCCTGCTTGAGGCTTCTGGCCCAGGTCCACTGGTCCTGGGGGGGGGGGGGGGGGTGTAGGGCTCTCATCCCCAAGATGACATACTCTCACAAGAATCAATATGAAGTGTGTGGCTCAGCCACACTGTAGTGTTTTCTCTTCCTTTCACTAGGTTTTCTGGAGACCAGATTCAGGCAAAAGAGCTTGATGCTTTGTTTTCTGTCCACAAGCTGCTCTTGGAAAGAATTCCATTTCTCTCCCTGCATTAAGAAGAAAATCGGTCTACAATCCCTAGTTATTTTCTGCTATGAGGTGGAATGAAATTGCTAATAGGATGACAGGATAAATGACTTGGAGAATTTGATTTATAATTCTGTACATTCACAGGACTATCAGTACTCTTCAGTTCTGTTAGCAACGTGCCTACCCTTGCTGGTGCCAGGAGCACTGTGTTACTGTGCTGCAGCTTGATCACTCAATCCACACCTTTTACCTTTCCCATGCCACCTCAGCAATAAAAGGCCAGAAACATTAGGTGAAGAGAAGCATGTACGTAATGAATGAGCCCAGTTCAGGCCTGACTTGCCTAAGCTAATACCACAAAGCCTGCCACTCTCTCCAGAAGACACAACCCAGCTGCTTGGGAAGGTAAAATGCAGAGTCCAGCATTTGGTCACCAGTAGAGACACCCACCTGTAGGGGTTTCTCTTCAAATAAAAGGCTGGCTTCAAGTACCCAGTCTATTTTGGTTCCAGCTGACCTGCCCCACCCCATGCTCCTCAAGCAGGGATGCCAAACCCTCCTAATAGTACTTAAGGTTCAACTTATCTCAACTAACAGTACAGACTTCTCCCTGACAAAATGGAAACTTCGATTTAAAACAAAAGAATTATGCCACACCACTTCATTCACAATCCTGACTCACTTTATCCCTGCCGGTTTTCCCCATCGCTGATGACTAGAGAGTCCAGCTGACAGGTTCCAACAGAGGAGCCTGACTTGTGCTGGTTGACCCTCACTCCTACTCTCCACTACTGGAAGACAGATAATACAGGGTACTACCAACTGTGGTGGCAGAGTCCTGCTAGTTCAATAGCTTAGCAACAAAATCTTGTCTGCCTCCTGCAATGGCCCTTTCATTGTCATTTTTACAAGGTGTGAAACACCTAGCTGCAATCTGCAATGCCAGGAAGCAGGGCAGAGTCGGAGCAGGGCAGGAGTGGGACCTGGCATTACATGCAGCGCCAGAGGAAACCCAGAAGGGATGCCTTTTATTCAGTAAGCAAAGTACACATTGAGGGCACCAGGGGCTAGGTGAAGGGCTATCACTGTGTAAGGACAACACATAGCTCCACCCAGGGTGAACCAGGATGCTGGGAGAGACCTACAGCCTACATTGCTAATAACAAATCCTGTTAGAAATGGTCATCAGGAGGAAATGGGGAAAGTGGGCATTTTTTTTGGCTGCCATACAAGCATACAAGTAGCAGACTAAATAAAAAACTTGTTTTCCTAGTTACTAGAAAAAATATCAAAAGGTGGGTGTGTTTATGTCTGAAAATATTAAACACGTAGAATTTCTCCAAAATAATATTTAACTACAATTTTTAATTAATTAACCCCATTTCTAAAACTTCTAGGACTATAACTTTTAGGCTTCAGTGCCTCCCCCCCCCCCCCCCCAGTGACAGACATCAGAGCAATCACCAATCATCATTAAAATCAGTTTAGAAAGAGTCCACCTTCTCTGGCAAACTCTGTAAGTATTTGGGTCCCACTGAACCATCTTCACTCAGCTGCTAAAACTGAATGGAATTATAGATCAGAGTTCTCACTTTAGAGATAGAGTTTTTAAAACTTATGACACTGTTGCTGCACACATGGCATGGCCAATAAATTCACATTGTAAGAGGGGAGAATCTTAATTTAAGAAATAATTTAAATGTGTTTTTCTTCTTTGGGGGAACTTCACAGGAAAAAAAAATGACTCAAGTGGTCCCTTAAATAAACTGGCTATTTCAAAAACTCTAGCATCTTTCTATTAGGGGTGTACTCACAGGACATTCACATTTTTTCAAAACGTCCTGGACTTTAACATCCAACACAAAAAGGACAGAATGCCTTTCCAGGAGCCTAAAGAGAACACTCAGCATAGCCTTAATGAAATAGCGTTGCCCAGGAGAAATCAAAGGTTTTTTCAAAGGAGTCCTAAGAGTCCCAGACAGGTATCTATCTATTCCTTCTCCCAGTCATTTACACAGACCACAAATGACTCCCAGTGAGAAATGAATCAAATAAAACAATGAGGCAAATGGCAAGCCTGACATTTCAAGCTTTTACATGGATAGAAAATCCTACCATCAATAAGACTTTGGGGGGCAAAATACAGGGACTAGGAAACAAGCTTCCACCTTGAGCCCCACCAACACCACGGCCAAGCTGCACATCTCCTTCAGTTCCCCAGGCAGGAGGGGAGGGAGCAGACCTTCCTCCAATGCTGTACGCCTGGGTTGTGGTGAGTTTAAATCCGACAAAAGCACTTTTGTATGGCTTCACTTCCCTTTACTATAACACTGCCAAAAACTACAGTAACAACACAGAGTGAAAGCGTGTAAAAGCCGACACAGACTTGATAGCTAAGCGCAAGCACATGTTGGCCTTCTCTGAGTGTGCCGTTTGGTTTGGTTGGGGGGTGGGGTTTGGGTAAGCCTACCTGGAGGGGGATCCTCATGATGCACTGGTTAAAGGGTTCAACTGCTAACCAAGGGGGTAAGATGTGGCAGTCTGCTTCCCTAAAGATTACCACCTTGGACACTCCCTGGGGCAATTCTCCGCTGTCCTACAGGGTCACACTGAACCAGACTTGAAGGGCTGGCGGTGAGTTGGGTTGGCTTAGGTTTCTGGAAGCCTACCTGGCTGACAATTGAGTCCTCAGCAGAGAAAGGCCTTCAACCTAAAGGGAGTCTCTGCCAATTTCTCAGGAAAACCTCCTGATAGGACTATAGGAAAAGCAGTAGCTGCCTGCCTATTCCCCATTTTCAGCCAGTGCACTCCTGAACCCCCAAGGTACTGTTACCACCTCAGTTCCTCTGACCTGCTCAGGAGCTTCTGAACCTACAAACCCCCTACTCCCAATTCCACATCAGATTAGACTCAGCAATTTAAAACCTCTACCTTCTTCTACTTCCAAAAGGAAGAAAAATATGTTCTATTCTTTGCACTTTCTAGATCATTCCTGATGGGAATGGATTTATACAAAAAAAACTGGCGCTAGCTAACCGTTAAGATCTGGGAAGCTCCTCATGCTTTCTTTCAAACAAATGCCTCCTTTCAAAATTGAGGATGAGGCACGTTACATTTTAAAATTTACAGAAAAAAAGACAAGGCCTTTTACAGTTTTTCCTTTCCACAGTAAATGCCCCTCCCCACCCCCATGCAACACAAGGCTTCAGAAAAGGTATTACAGCCCTTCAATTGGTCCCAGGAAGTAGACACTGGAAAGTCACATCCTAGGAGCGCGGGTCCTACTCCTGGCCAGAAACAAAAAGGGATGAGACAAGACTTACCCGGTCCCCTTTCGTTCCCCTAGTTCTCTAAACCGTTTCTACCTGATATAGTGCTTGTTACTGTTGCATCCACTTAAGCACCCTCCTGTCTCCAAAAGGGAGACAGTGGGCCTAATGGTGATCTGTTTGCAAAATACACATGGCTGTGACATTCTGCAGCATCGGGCCATCCCTTCCGTGGCCTTCGAAAGCGGTACACGGTAAATGTGAACACGAATGAACGAATGTGTGTATGCTCTCCCTCCTCCGTGCGGACGCGGGGCCAGAATCCTATGCGCATCCATGCTCTGTGGCAGGCTCGGCTTGGCCTGGCCTGGCCTGGCCGGGCCCGGCCCGGCCCGGCCCGGCCCGAAGCTGCTCTTCGGCAAAGGGTCCTCAGCGGCGCGGTTGCTCTCTCCTGACCTGGCCCGCACGCTACCTGCAGCCGCATGTCTCTACCACCATGTCTTCGTATTGCTTGTAGACCACGTTGTTGGCGGCGTCGATGTAGAGGATGCTGATGGGGCTGAGGCGCGCAGGCACGCAGCAGGAGGCCGGCGCCGCATTCGGTGCCATGGAGTTGAGCAGCGTCTGAATGATGGCGTGGTTGGTGGGCTCGAGGTGCGAGCGCAGCGGGAAGTCGCAAATGCCCTCGCAGTGGTATGCCTCGTAGTCCAAAGGCGCAATGATCCAGTCATCCCAGCCCAGCTCTTTGAAGTCTACGTGCAGCGGCTTGCGGCTACAGCGGGTCCGACCCCTGCGCCCGTGGCCCCGGCCCGTGCCCCCGCCGCTACCCTGTGCAGCCCGAGCCCCATGCAGCGCCGTCCGTCGCCTTCGGCGGCCACCGAGCACAACCTTAGGTGCCCCGGAACTGGGTCCCGGGTCCGGCGGCGGCTCTGCGGCCAGCGCTGCCCCGAGCGCGCGGGCCTGGGCGCTGATCTCCCGAAACAGGCTGTCTTTCCTCTGCGTGCGGGAGGAAACAACGAGCAGCGCACGTTCTTCCGCCGCCGTGCCGCTTCCGCCCCGCGAGCCTAAGCCCAGCACCCGCAGCGAAAGCAGGCTCCGCGAGGGCCCAGCCGCTGCGCGCAATAGAAGGCAGAACGACCGGTCGGCTCGCGGTTCCTGGCGGTGGCGCCGCAAGGCGTCTGCCACGTCGAACACTTCCCAGAGCGCAACGTCCAGGGCCTCAGCGGCCCGCGAGTGAAGCAGGCGCGGGGCACGAGCGGCGCCGGGGCACGTGGACAGCAGCAACAGAGGCGGTGGGGTTGAGCTGCCCGGACCCGGCTCAAGGGGCGCGCGGCGCAGCACACGCAGCTCGGCGCCCACCACCTCATCGGCGTCGGGAAGGCTGGACACATCGAACAGGAAGCTCTGACCAGTCTCAGCTGCGGAATCTTCTGTAAGGGACAGGTAGAGACAGAAAAAGAAAGCTATATAAGAGCCAAGCTCGCACTCCTGACCACGGGCCCTACTAATTTCAGATAGCCAGCCTCCCTTGATTCCGAAGTAAGGATCCTTGGAACAGTCGTTGCCCGTCTAACTGGTACAATCTGGCCCAAAGGAAAGGGAGCCTTCGCCTCGACTGTCGGTTCTGGAGCGAAAAAAGCCAAAAAGTCCTGCCACCACAGCTACCCACAGGCACCCACACTCGTGACCGAGGCGTAGGACCACCACAGTTCTACTGTCTTATGAGGACAAGGTCGGAGGCTAGCTTTTCAGGCCGGTGGTTGAGTCAGGAAACCTGCTGAGGACATCAGAAGTCCCTTCCGAAATCCGAAATCCAGTTGGACTTTTCGCTCAAATCTCCGAGCCTTCGGGGACAACTCATGATTACACTATAGATTTCCCGTAGAGCCCGGGAGTCCAGACTGTAGGAAAACGGAAAATTCTGATCCTCTAAAAATTTTTTCCTTCTGCTCCTTCTGTTTCTCCAGAAAGACATGAATGGTTCTGAAGGGAAATATGTCCGCCAGGGCTGCAAAAACCCTCCAGTTCAACCTCATCATTTTTCCAAGGAGAACGGAGGCCCAGATAGGGGCCACAAAGTCCTACAGCAAAGGAGCTCCACTAGTCCAACCGAGAACCTGAAGCTCGGCTCCTCTCCAAACACCCACGGTCACAATAGATGGAAAAAGACGACAGAAGAAAACAAGGAACCTTCTCAGAATGAGTCCAGACAGCCCAGTGCTGCCTAGCGACACTGAGGGCAGCGGTACCTCTAGTGAAGTCTCATCTCCAGGTCCTACTGGTCCCTTCACAGACTTATTCTTTCTCTCGTGATTTATCTAGGGTTTTGATTTTGGCCGCAGCCTTTTGGGGGGAAGGTGGGGGCTGGGGAGGGAAAAAAAGTTAAAATCCCGCCAGCAGTAGATAAGGAGTTCTCTTTGAAGAGGGTCATATGGTTTCGTTTTGCCCCAAACTCCAAGAGACTGCAAACTTCCCACACCATAGAGGATTTGTTCACTAACCGTGAACCCCAGGCCCTGGCTGTCTCAAGTTCGAGGTCTCTGTTGTCCAAAGCCTCAGAAGGACTTCAAACAGTTCTACTCCAAATTGAGGGAGCTGAAACTCAGGGTGGAAAGGATAGTAATGGGTATGGGCTCCTCATTACTGTTCCTAGCCCCCAGGGTATGCTTGAGCTATTGCTCCCAGCTTTTCCTACAGCCCCTGTGTCTCTCCTAGCTTTAAGCTTCCTACAACTGCATTCCCCTAGAAAGAAAAGGTGGTCTCAGGAACCTTGCCAGTCAAGCAGAGATCTCCTAGGAAAATCCTGGAATTTAGCTCAGGATGAGATGGTGGCAGGCTGATGCCTCTATGAGCTTAGAACACTGCACACCCCACCTCCCCTGCAGTCTCTGGGCCAATACAACAGCGTTAAATCTGAGGCTGACCCAAGCCCTCTTGGACCAGGGCTCCTTTCTACAGTAGTATTAGTATTCCCAGCACCTATCCCAATGGGCTCAGGGACTATTCCATAGTTCCCACCAAGCTTTAGGACTATTTGGGCCTGGGATTTGCTTACACCCAAAATAAAACATACCATGTACTTGAATTGTTTTTTTTGTGCAGAAGGGGGTAGGTTATTTGACTGCTGCACTGCTTCTGCCTGTTTTCCCAGGTTAATAGCCAAGGTATGCAGCTTCTCAGTGGCTGGCAGGCAGGGAGCAGCTTCAGACCAGCAGCACTGAACTTTACAGTCTTATTCCTCCTGCTTTTCATGAAGCATCTCTGGCTGGATAGAATTAGGGTCGAAATTACTTGAATTTCCGCCTAAAATTAACTAAAATTTCCCTATCTGTCTGCTTTAATGACTTCAATGAAGATTAATAAAATCCAGATGACACACAGCAACCAACAAACGGCCTCACTCGCATCCTACCTTTGGAAAGATCAGAATGGAGTAAGGTGGAATGATTTTTCTGAAAGAAGCCTGTATTCCTGCAAAGGGTGTTCTCTCTACCTCACACAACCAGATATTCCTTCATCTCTGGCCCTCCGAAGGGTCCAGCATAAGGACACGGGCATCCATTCCTACACACTCCACACACATCCAAGCCACCACCACCCAGAGGCAAAGTCCTCCTCATATCTGGTTATGCCACCAGCCTCTCCAGGTTCATCTATTTTAATGACACCTGCCTCTGTTTCAATTTCCCCCCGCTTCCCCAAATTGTGTGGCTCCTAGGACCTGCAGAGATTACTGCAACGAAGCAGTCCCTCTAGGTCAGACCCCGGAGATCAGATCTCCTGCCTTCATTTCTTCTCGGAGGAATCTGGCCTCGAGGCCACTCCAGGCCTTTCCCCAGGAAACAGATCTCGGACTCAGCCAGGCTCTAGGGAGCCCACCAGTCGGCAAAGCCAGGGAACTCCGTAGAGGGACCAGTACAGTCCTCGGTCCCCACGAAGTGGCCTGATTGTTGTCACAGTCCAGGCGCTGCGGGTTCGGATGAGTCGGCCTCGGCGAAGTTTCTAACACCTGAGGCTGGAGTGTACAGGGATGGGGTGGGGGACAAATGTAAAGGAGTCAGGGGCACGGTTCAGGCGGTGGTCTCAGCCCAGGACCGGACGGGATGGACAAGCGTACGAGAGGCGTGAGTACCTTGAGGTGCCTGGTCTGCGAAGCCGGTGATTGTGTCGGCGTGGCTGTGGTGGCCTGAGCCCGAGGTGGAGGCGGCAGCGGCCCCGGCTGGAGCCCTCCCGGACAGGCTCCGGTAAAGCGACATCATGAACTGATGAGGCACCACTGAGCCGTTCCTGAAGCCAGAGCCGGCAGCTCGGCGCGCAGCGCGGGCACCAGGAACCGCAGCAGCCGGGGCAGCGGAGAAGCCCGTAACTCGGGCGAGGTTCCGCTCGCCGCCGCCCCCCGGGCCCCTGGCCGGCCCTGCCTCTGCCGCTCTCAGCACAGCTGCCGCCTCGAGCCCGTCGCGGGGGCGGCAGGCGCTCAGCAGCCAGAGGCAGAGCGCGGCGGCAGCACTCAGGTCCATGGGTTCCGTGGGCCGGGCGGGCTGGCGGCGCGGGCTCCGTGGCTTCGGGAAGTCCCCCGGCGCCTTTTGAACATAGTGTTTAATAATGGGGGAAGTGTGCGCAGCAAGCCACGGCCCCCACTCTTCTCCCACCCCACCCCCGCCCAACTCCCGGAGCAGCGCCCTCTGCCGAACACTCTAGTGGCATCGAAGCGCCCCACATTCCGGCCTAAAGTAGAGTCTGCTCCAGGAGCCTCCTCCCATCATAGCGCTTCGCCCCCACTCTCACCAAGTGAGCGTGACCGGCCGGAGGCTCCAGCCGCAACCGAGTGCCCGCCTCCCTTCTCCTCGGCAATACTATCTAGCCAGCCAGCCAGCCACCCACCCACCCAAGCCGCGCCCGAACCAAACGCGCACTCCTTCGTTCACGCTCAGGGCATCAGTCATAGACTAACAGCTTCTTCCCCACTCCCCTGCTGCGGAGCGCCCCGCCCCCCTCTCGGTTCCTTTTCTTTGACTGTTCTCAACGCTAGAGGTGGGGCCACCGAAGGGCTTGGCCCTGCGCGTCCGCCCCGCGACCCCATGGCCAAAGAGCACTGAAAGGCCACAAGGGCGCGCGGAAACCGCACGGGCGCGTTTTCGATCACCGGTTAGGCGGTTCCGCAACTAAAGATCAGCAGGCTGCGGGAGCAAGGGAAGGGGACCAGTAGGGGCGGCGGAAGAGAAGGCAAATTATTGGAAGGGCGAGAAGGAAGAGACAGACGGTAGTGGACCGGCCGTCGGAAAGGAAATACTTGGGCGCGGAATTTGCGCTTAAGCGGGATCCAATCACTAAGCAAAAATTACTAAGGCTGCCTCGGGGTGATAGGAGACTCCCTTGCGGGAGTAGCTCTCCGACTTCATCTGTGCGTCAACAATGTTGACGCACTGCCTGCTTTCTTGGGAGGGGTCGGCGACAACATTTCTTCAGGGTCTGGTTGGCTAACGGAGACGGGCTACCGGGTATGTTCGGCGCGGGCCTAACGCCAGGAGGGCAGGCAGCAAGGAGCACCGGGATGGCGCCTCCGTACTTAGTTCCGGGGCCGCGTTTATAGCGTGAGGCCGGGCTCGGTGGACGGGAGGCCTTGCTCTCCGGAGGGCAGAGGGGGCTTGGGTCGGCAACCGGCAGTCACAGGTCCTAGAGGCGATTGTAAGCTCAGTTCGACGACCGCTGGGACACACCGCATACGGGGACATCCAGCTGATGGACGAACTGCTATTACACCGACGAAGGGCCTGGGCCGACGGATTCCCCGAAGCAGGGTAGGCTCGTCCTTTTTCTTTAAATTTAATTTCATTTGCTACGGAATTCGAAATCTAGACTGACGTGGTGCGCCATGATCAGTTGGAGCTCAAATTGGAGTTACATGACGCTGTTCAATCTAAAGCCCCAGTGACCGCCAAGTGTAGGGAAGCTCTGTACTCTGATAGACTTAGAGAGGCCTGGCGGCTGGAGCTCCTGTGTCTACTGCAGCTCAGGCTAGCGAGTTCTCCTGCACTGTCCGCATCGCCCCAAGCAACCTGCTCCTCTGTCGTCTTTCGGGCCCCAAGAGGACGCGGTGCCTGCTCAACTTGGGGTTTTGCGACGTTCACATGCAGGGACTTATATGGATAGGACTCCAAGGCCGACCTAGTGAACCAAGAAGAAAGGCCCGAGGTTAGCGTGGGAGGGTCTGGATGAGAAGGGAGGATCCCTGAGCCAGGGTCAGCGGTTGCTGGGTCTTCCAGTCGCCGAAACGCGTACACCTGGGGAATGGGGAGGACTAGGCTGCATTACCTTTGGGAGGGAAGTTGGAAAGTCACAGTCACGTCTCTCCCAACTCTCTTTGTGGTGCCGATAACACAAAGCAGCCCTGTGGGAACCTACCTCGGTTATCTGGCTGCCCCCTCAAAAACACTGCCAGCTAGATAAAGAGCAAACGTTTTAACCGGTTTCTCTTGGGACGACAATGCTGAGTCCCTGCTGTCTTACTCGGCTCCTTTCACCCTGCAGCCAGCCGTAGATGTTATACAAAATCAACTTGAATATTATTTATGCAAATACTTGGGAGTCCTGTACTAGAATTGAGAGTCCTGCCTCTAAACTTGACTTTGACCTTGGCCATCAAATCCCATTCCTTGTCTTAGCTTCAGCTTCCCCAGCTGTTTAAAGTGGGATCCGTTATGAAAGGGGTCCTGGCACAGGCTTGGCCTGTTATTATTGTTGTTATACGTACTGTGACGTCAGTTCCAACTCACAGCAACCCTGTGTAGGGTTTCTGAGGAGTGGCTGGTGAGTTTGAACTGGCGACCTTGCAGTCCAGTGCTTTATCCTATAGGACAGGCTGGGCATAGAAGTGTTAAGTAAACATATGATTACATGGCATAGTTGCCTGAAGGCCACCTTGGGACTTTGGAATGATGAGCTTGAATCCCTGAGTTCATTCCTGTTCTATCTGTGGGAGCAAGCCACTTAGCTTCACTGAGCCTGAGTTTCCTTATTTATATAGTGGGGAGTCCTGGTGTGGTGCTGTGGGCTAATGCGCAAGACTGCAAAGCCGTTTGAACTGCAAGGTTGGCGGTTCAAGCTCACCAGCTGCTCCTCAGAAACCCTATACAGCGTTGCAATGGGCCAGAACCGACTCAATGGCACTTCACAACAACAACATATAATGGGGAGCCCTGGTGTGGTGCTGTGGGGTTAATACGCTGCAAAGTCCATTTGATCAGCAAGGTGGGCAGTTCAAACTCACCAGCCGCTCCTCGGAAACCCTATACAGGGTGGCTATGGGTCAGAACAGACTCCATGGCACTTAACAACAACATACAATGGTGAGGTTCTCACCTAGAATAATAAACTGTCACAGAAAAGTCTCCATAGCCTTGTTTCCTCACCCCCTAGTCTGTTCTCATTCCCAAGGGTGAGAACGACAGAGACAGAAAATTAGTGATATGCCATGCAAAGCATTGGAGGAGAGTGCCTACTGGCAGTAGGCAGTACTAAAACTGCTATCCTCCAGCTGTTGGTGCTTAGACCAGTCTTGATGTTTCTTGGTCTGCAATTAATTTTCCATCCTCCATCCACTTTTTCCAACAAATGTTTACTGCCAGCAACTCTTCCCTTGTATTATGGAGTCTGCAGTGGACAGGGAAAACATGTAGAGCTTTAATGTGGGCAAAGAGACAATAAACTATAAGCAAATAAATCTGTAATATAATATCAGGTGGTAGAGAGTAAAGTGATAAAAAGCCTGGGCTGGAGAAAGAAAGGGCTTGATCAGCAGAGACCATATTGAAACTAAACTCAGAAAAGAGGTAGGGATAGAGGATGTTTGGACCAAGTCTGGTTCCGTCCTCTTCCCCTTTATTAGTGATATTAACCATTTGTTACTAACATTGTATGCCAGGCATTATGCCAACTGCTTTACATCTCTCATGTCATTTCATAAGCAAGTACTCTATTGGCTGTTGTTAAGCACCATGAAGTCGGTTCCGACTCATAGTGACCCTGCACAGGGTTTCTGAGGCTGTAAATCTCCTGTGGAACTGTCAACCTTGAGGTTAGCAGCCCAATTCGTAACCACTATACTCCCATTTTATAGATGAGAAAAGTTGAGTCACAAAGAAATCTGACCTCTTGCCCAGGGTTACCTAGTAGATGGAAGAGCCTGGATTCACCAGCTATCTTTGCCCAAATCTTGGTTGCCTGCTTGTGGGGGTTGGGGCAGGAGAGACCTAGCAACATCCCCTTGGAGCTATGTGCTCTATGAGCTGCTCCTTTCATTTGTGATTGCTGGGAAACTGTTGATGAAGTCCAGAGGAAGACAGGAAGCAGAGCTCAGAGACTTGCAGAAAACTGGGCACTGATGACCCTCTAATCTCCCAAGCCTTGAGATTACAACTGTTTTCTCCTCAGAGAAGGTGGTATTAGTTCCAATGGGGACCAATGAAAGCAGCATGGTTGGAGGAGTTGTTTCTAAATTGGTGTGAAGAGGCACAGCTCCCACATTCACCCTAACCCCTTCCCTTGGAGAGTGTTTTGCTGTTCATCTATCCATTGCAGAATCCATGTGTTTCCTCAAGGCACCACCTCTGACTCAGAGTCATTGATTCCTAAACAATAAAATTTCAGATTATTTATGCCATTAAGTTACTAACCAAACTGTGGAATATCTGGGTAATGCAAATGGTTAACATGCTTGGCTGCTAACCAAATGGTTGGATGTTGGAGTCCATCCAGCAGTGCCTTGGAAGAAATATTTGGCAGTATACTCCCTGAAAATCAGCTACTGAAAAACCCCATAGAGCACAGTTCTATTCTGATGCACATGGGATCACAGGTCGCCATGAGTCAGAGTCTACTGAAAGGCAACTGGCTACCCAGGCTGTGCTTGCATACATGCAGAGATGGAAACTCCCTCTACCAGGCTGCTCCAAGTGAGGAGGTCCTTGATACTGTATCCTATGAGAGCCACAACATCTCTCAAAGACATTTCCTGTGTGCAGTTAACGTGTCATCTGGAAACATGAAACACTGAATTGATTCAGCCTCTTAGGAAGTTAGTCTTGGACTCTGCCAAGTAGAATCACATTGCGGTGACCAGGTACTGGAAATTACACCAGTTCCAACTTTAGGTGGTTCAGCCTCATACAAATGTCTCATGCCATACCCAGACACATCTGTGCTCCCCTCTCCTCACCCGCGTGTGTGGTAGTGTCTTAGTTTATCTAGTGATGCAATGATTGAAAACCCACAAGTGACTGGCTTTAACAAACAAATATATTTCTCCCCAGCTTCTCCTTCCTGCTTCCTTAGAGGTCTTCATGTGTCTTAGAGTGTGTATTATCCCAGCCCTGCTTTGCTCACTTATTTAATCTCTTTTATATTATAAGAGACTGACTCAAGATACACCCTACACTAATCTTGCTTCATTAACATAATAAAGACAACTCATTCCCAAATGGGATGTTATTGTTGTTGTTAAGTGCCATGGAGTGGATTC